TGAGCGATTCTGTGTGTGATCTGTGTGTGAAGTAACAGGGTTTCAAAATCTTAATCTAGCAGAACACGCTTCAGTGATGTGCTGTGTACAGGAGTGTGAGACAACAAACAGAATCCTGCTTTAAAAAGCCTGTTTATAAAATTGCATTTATAACCGAAACAAATAATGGACAGGAAAAACTTCTTTACTGTGAGGGTTACAGAGCACGGCCCAGGCTGCCCAGAGAGGTTGTGGAGTCTCCTTGTGTGGAGACACCCAAAGCCCTGGCCGTGTTCCTGTGTGACTGCTCTGGTGATCCTGCTGTGGCAGGGGTTGCACTGGGGGAGCTTTCCAGGTCCCTTCCAGCTCCTGATATTCTGGGATTCTGTGAAATACTCATGCTCTTCAGAGTTAATAATTATTTAGTCTAATAACGTTTGAAATAGCTCTTGGTCAGGTACAGGCAAAACCAAAAGACCTCCAAGGGAAAAAAAAATACAAGAATCTTTGTTCTGCAAATGCCATTTGGAGTGAGTACAGTCCACCTGCTTTCTGAGGAGAACGATACATTTTAACTGAGACACATAAAAACTTCTGCTGTTTTAAAGTCCTTTGGATTGTCTTCCAACAGAATGCACTGACAGATGAATACAATGGACATTTCTTCCGTAACACCCCAAAAAGGTCACGCTTTAAAGGATAAAATCAGTAGACACTTAAAGCAGCCAAACTGGCTCATCAGAACAGCTATTCACTGGAAGGAAAAGCAATGTAATGGTGTCATTTTTACTAGTTTTTACAGTATTTTTGTACATATTTACCTGGTAGATGATCATGTCTGTAAGAAAGATTCTTAACCAGAGCCAGGTTTCTGTCTTCCACGACAAACAAATTCTGGTGAACTCTGCGTACGTGGTCAGAGAAGAGAAAGAGAAAATGAAGCATTTCGCAGCTTTGGGTTAGAAATCAATTATCTAGAAAAAACACAGCTAAATGTAAAACTGGAAAGACAAAACAGTAAGAGAGTGAAATCTTTCAAATACAAGATAATCTCTTCCTATACGATCCTATTTTGATTACATGTCTCTTCACAGTCTCCAGCAAACCTAAAAGGAGCTAAGTGGCACTATTTCCCTGCTTTTTAGGAGAGAATTTTGTTCTCAAGATTATCACACCAGATACTACCAGAGAGACACAGTGCAGACATATCTCAAGCGTGAACTAAAGCAGCCATCAGTAGCACACCCTCACCGAGTACTATCAGCACAACTACCACCCAACTGCTCCTTCAGTAACAGCTCCTTCCAAAGGAAATGTGGGTGAATAAGCAAAGATGCACGAAGAATGGAACAAAATCGGGAACAACACATTCAGAAATGCAACATCTGATAAGGCTCCTTATTGGAACCTAGATCAAAATTACTCAGGACCCAAAATAAACTCAATTTTAAGGATTCCCAATGACAGGAATTCTATTTTAACAATTATAAAATGACTTTTATGCACGGCAGTGAAGTCTGCCTGCAGCTGGCCTTACCTTTGTCGAGTGACTCCAGAGAATAGAGCAGCTCCCAGCTCTCTCGTGCCAGTTTGAAGCTCTCCAGTACTTCAATAGAGTTTGCAAGATCTGCCTTGTTCACTGCAATGTGACGACTTCGCGCCTTCCCAGAAGGATCCTCATCATCCGAGCTCTGCTTAGGAGTCAGTGTAAAACAAACAGATTCTTCACTTGTACTTGTTCCCAAGGCCTCTCGAGTCACTGAAGTTCCACTGAACACAAGGAAACAATTCTGTGCTCGGGTTGCCAAGGTTTAAGTGCCTTTAAGTGACTGTTCGCTTGGCTTGATTTAATATTAGAACGATCTATTTTGCTACTGAGAAGCTCAGTGGTGTAGTGTGATAAACAGTATCCCAAAATAATTCATCCTGTTAACCACAGCGTACCACCACCAAGCTTCAGCCAGATTATCTATTAACGTGCAAACATACTGTGCATTTTATCACTTGGTTGAAGCCTACAGTGGCATATGGCAAAGGAAATGTTATTCTTCAACTACCAACAGGGCAATGCTATAAAACAGTGGGTTTCCACTAATAAAGACACGGGTGTATTCACAGTTCCAATCATGAAAAGTCAATTAATTTGGAGGTTTAGCTGTAGGACATCTGACTGCCACAGCTACCATTTTTAACAGCTTCTGCAGTCTCTGCTGAACTCCTTTAAGTATTCACATCGGCACATAATCAGTCTACAGCAATTGCCACAAAAACTGTTTGATACTTGCTGGTTTCGGCCAAAAAAAGTCTGTTTGCAAATTGTTATCATGAACAGTTATTCCAGGGTAGCTCTAAAATGATGTCTATTACATCTGTGTCAAATCCAGTATTGCCTAAATTCCACTGCCAATTTCATTCTTATTACGAATTTAAAAGTCAGGAGCAAGTTACCATTGTTTTTTCTCTTCCTTCCGCAAGTTTCCTCTTTTTGTGTATGTGTTTGCTGCGATCGATGTCTGTATCACCGTAGATGTTGGGCACATCCTCGAGAAGAACCAGTGGGGCTTGGTTTGGAGCATTTGGACCTGGATTGAAAGAAGAGTTAATTCAAGATTTCTCACCGTCAAACAGTGCTCTAGTATCTAAGCTTACAGAGTTTTTAATTGATTTCTAGCACAGAGTATTACAAATAAACCCCTCAAAGCATCAGCCCAAATAGCAACTCTTGCCAAGACCGCAGGCAGCCGGAGAGTTACACGAGGTGTGAATTGCCTCATTCATTTCTCGAGCCTCCAGCAAGGCAGATATGAATTATAGAAGAGAAATGCATTGAAAAGTTTTCTTTCAAGAGGTTTCCTGCAAGTCCATGCACACGAGGAGAAAGTCACAGACCACGAAGCCAAGTGAGACTGATCTTTGGTCTGATCCACCACAGCAGTTGTCACGAACTGCTTCTGCTAAGGCTAACGGCGTGGGAGAATTCTAAAAGGGATGCGGTCACCTTGTGAGATGAGTTTTAAAAGACTGGTGAGAAAAGATCTTTCAGGCATTAGCGATGAAATAATGAAAAACTGTTTACAAAAGCTGAAACGTGAGAAACTAACCTTGGAAGAGCGATGGCTGGATGCTGCTGACGTACTGGAACGCGTTTTTAAAGAAGACCAGCATCGTGGAATACACTACTTGGTTCTTATATTTAGCATGTGCATCACTGTCAAAGTTACTGATGTATCTGCAGAGGTCTTTCATTCGGTGCAAAATATCACCAAAACTTCTGAGGAAGAGAGGCAAAAAGACTTCTCTATGTTACACAGACTCCAAAACTGAAGTCAAGAACAGACAGTGAATATGAAAAACCCAATGTTTTGGCTGAGGAAAGCCCCCAGCTGCAAGTAAGTGGAGGCTGGGAACGCACACCAGTGAAACTTTTAAACATTTCTCTTTGCAGGTGCACTTAGAGAAGGATACTCCACCGTGCTGTAGTTCTTATGCCAAACTTTCATCAACAAAGATTTAATTTAGACACTAACTTAAAAGGGCTCTCTGGGTCCACATTTTCGTGTTACATTGTACAGTCTTGACAGAAAAGCTGCACTGAATTTACACAAAATGCCTTCAGGTAAAGATCCTTCTGCAACCCATCTCCTTAAGAATTAAAAAGCCAAATTCTTCTTAAAGAAACCCCAGGAAAAGTACACGTTTCTCACCTTCTTCCCTTGTCCATTTGCCATTCACACCTCATTCCCACCACAGACAGTATTTTAAACAGCCTCTCCCAAGGATCTGTGATCTGGGATGACTTCTCTGTCAGACCATCTATTACGTATTTCTGAGAGCTACGCTTGCTTGGAGACATAATATCAGAGGAATCCTGCGAACCTAGGAAAGCAAGCACATTTTTCTCTTCATAAAGAAACCAAACCAACCGATTTATTTTCCAGGAGGAGACATTTCAATCTGTGCACCTGAGCTTTCAGGGTAACCATTCTTGACTGAGAAGGCTAACAGGGAGCATTAGGTATATTGGCCTTAGTGTACAAGAGACTTGATAGGTTGGATAAGGAGATCTTGAACATTTTATCCTACCTCTCATTACATATGCTGAAGCATCATGAGCCTCATGATTAATTAACTGAAGCATCATCAGGTATTTTGATGTAAAAGAACTAAGAAACATCAAGTACTATTATTAATCCTTGTCTACCAGGTGCATCACTTAATAGCAATCACAGAATCACAGAATCTCAGGAGTTGGAAGGGACCTCGAAAGGTCATCCAGTCCAACTCCCCTGCCAGAGGAGGATCACCTAGACTAGGTCACACGGGAACGCATCCAGATTGGCCTTGAATGTCTCCAGACAAGGAGACTCCACAACCTCTCTGGGCAGCCTGGGCCATGCTCCAGAACCCTCACACTCACAAAGTTTGTTCTCATGTTCGCATGGAACCTCCTGTGCTCCAGCTTGGGACCATTGCCCCTTGTCCTGCCATTGGACATCCCAGAGCAGAGCCTGGCTCCTTCCTCCTGACACTGCCCTTTCCAAATGGATCCCCAGGAATGAGGGCACCCCTCAGGCTCCTCTGCTCCAAGCTCAAGAGCCCCAGCTCCCTCAGCCGCTCCTCAGCAGGAGATGCTCCACTCCCTCCAGCATCTCTGTGGCCCTGCTGGACTCTTTCAAGCAGTTCCTGTCCTTGAACCGAGGGGCCCAGAACTGAACACAATATTGCAAATGTTCAGGGCAGAGTAGAGGGGAAGAAGAACCTCTCTCAACCTACTCACCACACCCCTTCTCATCCACCCCAGGATGGCGTTGGCCTTCTTGGCTCAAGGGCACATTGCTGGCTCATGGGCATCCTGCTGTCCACCAACACCCCAGGTCCTTTACACCCACTCGTCCCCAGTCCTGTAGCGTCCATGAGGTTCTTGTGACCCAAGTGCAGGACCCAGTACTTGGCCTTGTTGAAGCTCATCCAATTGGCCTCAGCCCATGGATTCAGCCCATCCAGGTCCCTCTGCAGAGCCTTCCTACCCTCAGCAGATCAACACTCCCTCCCAACTCAGTGTCATCTGCAAACTTGCTGAGGGAGCACTCAATCCCCTCATCCAGATCATTGATAAAGATGTTAAACAGGAGTGGCCCCAAAACAGAGCCCTGGGGAACATCACTTGTGACTGGTCACAACTGGATTGAGCAATGCGTTCTTCACTCATGGACCTCACTTCAGTAACACTAAAATACATTCTAGGAAAGGCTAAGTTTGTAAAAATATTCTTACCTTGATATTGGCTTTCTGGCTGTGTAGATCTAGTTACATAGTTAATATAGAACTCCGCTGCTTTATTCAGATATTTATATAACAAGCTGGCAGGAAGACGAACATCAGGGTTGTTAATTATTAGAGGAAGAACATCACAAACTAAAATAGGAAACAAACCAAAAAATCCCTTTAGCAGTTTCCTGAACTGAGAATCTGTCTTACTGCCATGCTATAAAGCTATGTAATAAAACAAAAACATGAATATTTTCTTACCAAACAACTTTCTAAAGCAATTCACAGGGGATTCTTGGTCTTCAATACTTTCAGCCTCTAATAATGTTTCTCCAAGGCCCACCTGTGCAAGCAAAGGTGAAAATCAAAATACTGGACCAGCATTCAGAAACTTTGTGGACTGTGATTCCATGGAGTTGAACCGTCATTCAGTAGATGCATGAGTAGCAGTTTGCTATATGGCAACTGCTTGTGCTAATCTCTATAGTTAAAAATATCCCTTCTTAATAACAGGTGAAAAGCAATGCCAGAAGATAGCAAAAAAAGACCAAAATGACCTTGACCTCATTAATGTTTATAAATTTGTAAAGGACGAGTGTCAGGAGGAAGGAGCCAGGCTCTGCTCTGGGATGGCCAATGCCAGGACAAGGGGCAATGGTCCCAAGCTGGAGCACAGGAGGTTCCAGCTGAACATGAGGACAAAGTTTGTGAGTGTGAGGGTTCTGGAGCATGGCCCAGGCTGCCCAGAGAGGTTGTGGAGTCTCCTTGTGTGGAGACACCCAAAGCCCTGGCCGTGTTCCTGTGTGACTGCTCTGGTGATCCTGCTGTGGCAGGGGTTGCACTGGGGGAGCTTTCCAGGTCCCTTCCAGCTCCTCATATTCTGGGATTCTGTGAAAGCGATGGAGATACCAGGCCTTGAAGCTGCAGGTTGTCACCTGAGCTGTAGTAACTGACTGTGCGCTCTGCCTGATGCTAGTACGAACTAGAACGTGTTGGTCTGAATCAGCCTCAGAGCTAACAGGGTTTGTAGTCTTTAAACTATCCTTAAAAACGTAGGGCATCACTTCAAGAGCTCCAGCAGTCGTTTTGTAAGGCAAACTGAACACGCTGCCTGTTAAGAGTCTGGTCATAACCTCGAAGCACCCTGCCCTCAATGAGAGTTTACTGACAAACAGCTGAAGCAGTATTCTTTCTTAGACTATAATACTCCTCTACCCTCTCTTTCTGTATTATTCTGCTTTTTCACAAAGCACAGAATAATCTTTGCCTTTACAAAACAAAACGATTGTTTTCTTTGCTTCCATTTGTTTTCTGCCTAATTATTTCCTGATGGACACCTCAAGGTACAGCAATCTGAACTATGACAGCTAAACATGAATAAAAAGACTCTTCCTCACTAGGCAAAGCAAAATACATTTCAGCAAAAGCTCCAGAAACAGAATGACAACATCCTAAACAGTTACTGCGAGTTTCTTTTCTCTTACCCCGTGCTGCATCACGGTCTCTGGGAAGCGTCGCAGAAGTAGCAGCAGCATTTCTGCCCTTTCCAGTGTGTTAAAACACTGCTCTGTGGCCTTCAGTAGCATTTCACACTGGACTCGACCAGGAAGGGTTTCAAATAATCCTAAAAAAAAAAAAGAAGGAAGTATAATTTACTACGTCTGAATTGTAAAGGTGACTGACAAAGGGTGCCCTTGCCATGCAGAGTCAAAGAGATTGCCTTATACTTTTTTCAGCTTTTACTATCTATGTCTGGGGAAAAAACCAGCTGTTTCATTCCGAGAAGACCATGTGAATATTTATGTGTGTTTACTGGGGCGCACAGAGCTTGATTGAACAAGTGAGACTACCGATGAGTGGAATACCAAAAATCCTAACGCTTAAAGATTTGACAGCTGAAGACTCTTCAAGACTTTTTGTTTGGTTCTTTTACTTACAACCCACAGCTACAATTCATACTTTCAAAATAAAAAGCTACCTTTCTCAAGTTAAACCTCCAATGAGACATTTCTTTTCTCCCTGTAAGTTATATATATTCTCTTTGAAAAATAAACACACCCCACGAAAAAGCAAGTGTTTCCTTAACGGGAATAGCCCCTGCGCAGAGTCACACATTGCCTCTCTTTAGCAAACTGTAACTTGTCAGGTGGAAATCCCGCTTTCAAAACTGCCTGTGGTCGCCAGCAGGGAACGTCAAGCCCTTCTGGTAACCGTTCATTTTCATAGCCCTCACTTTATATGTACAAATCCATCTCATTTTTATGATGATTCACGATGATTCGTTAAGTCCCACTCCACTGATTCCCTATGCAATCTCTTTTCTCTTTTGCTTTATGTTGACAGCTTCTCATGTCCCTTTGTGTTTCCTAAGCCAAACGCCCCGAATGAAGCCTCTGAGGCTGAACTGAGGAAAAATAACGTGCAGCCCACAAGTAAAGTTAAAAAGACTGACATTTACTCTCCACACTGGATAGGTAATCAGAGGACTTATCTTTAGATTCCTCCAGGACTCTCTCTATTCACTGAAGAGAAACCTTACCTCTTAAAAATTGTGTCTGCTTGTCCTGCGAGTCGTTCCTTAATGCCGCTGTAATAACGCTGATCTCCCTCCATACAGCAGGTTGGTCTGGAAAATTCACAAACCTGTAATAAAGTTCGAGGCAAGGAATGCACAGGGATCTCAAAATCTGTTTCCAACACAAAACCTTCCCGTGAAAGTTTTTTTTGTGCACAGGCAAATGGAAAATAAACCCTTTCTCTTTAGTGTTCAGTTTTAATTAACAAGACCTTTTCTGTTTCATTTATCCATGCGAACACTCACATTATATTTTTGGAAACTCTGACATGTGTCCAGTGCTGGGCCCTCAGCTCAAGAAGGACAGGAACTGCTTGAAAGAGTCCAGCAGGGCCACAAAGATGCTGGAGGGAGTGGAGCATCTCCTGCTGAGGAGCAGCTGAGGGAGCTGGGGCTCTTGAGCTTGGAGCAGAGGAGCCTGAGGGGTGCCCTCATTCCTGGGGATCCATTTGGAAAGGGCAGTGTCAGGAGGAAGGAGCCAGGCTCTGCTCTGGGATGTCCAATGCCAGGACAAGGGGCAATGGTCCCAAGCTGGAGCCCAGGAGGTTCAAGCTGAAGATGAGGCCAAAGTTTGTGAGTGTGAGGGTTATGGAGCATGGCCCAGGCTGCCCAGAGAGGTTGTGGAGTGTCATTGTGTGGAGACACCCAAAGCCCTGGCCGTGTTCCTGTGTGACTGCTCTGGTGATCCTGCTGTGGCAGGGGTTGCAGTGGGGGAGCTTTCCAGGCCCCTTCCAACTCCTCATATTCTGGGATTCTGTGACATTTCTGGAAAGAAGCACCTGGCACAACTGTAGGGTCCCGGCGTTGATGACTTACATGTCGTAGAGCAGCCTGCCCGCAGACGCTGTCCTTTCAGCATTCCTCTCAATAGTGTACATCTCATACTGTAAGACAGAAGAACAGCACAGTAGCTTTCTTGAAGACATTTATCACTTATATTAATCCTTCCGGTCTAAAAAAACTGCCCCAAATTTGCCACAGCATTTTTAATAATAGAGACAGAAAAGCTCGCAACATTTGCTGTAGAAATTAAGAGCTGAGTTTAATCTACCTCATCACACATTAAATTATGCATAAAGTTCTGTATGATAATATAAATCCTCTAATATTAACATTTTTTTTTACACAAATAAAAAACTGAGCGAGAATTCAAAGAGTTTTTTGACAAGGGTTTGTTTCCAGTGAAATGCAATGTAAAACCCCAAGGTTTTATGAAAGCCATGGGCAAGAGAGGTACTTGAAACCTCTATTAGAAGTGACCTTTTTTTTTTTTGCAATAGGAAACCAAAATGTTTCAACACGTGCTAACAGAAGCAGCAGCAAAGGGACCTTGCCCCCAGTTGTTAAACAAACAAAATCTTCCCTTAACAAAGCATTCACAGGAGTGGATTTTATTCCAGGGTAACACAACGAGCAGTGACGAGCATGGGTGCTGGGCTGGACCCCTCTGAAGGTGCCAGGCCTGGATCCCTGTCAGGATGCTGTGTCTGGCCCCTGCTGTGGGTGCTGCGCCGGGTCCCTGTCATGGGTACCGGGCAGGACCCCTCTGAGGGTACCGGACC